GGCAGCTATCAATGATTCTCTCTCATCACTGATGTTTCTATCTCTCTCTGTCCCTCCCTTCCTCTCTGAAAACAATAAAAATATATTAAAAATATTTATAATTTGCCTTCTTCCATTTGGTAGGAAGCCATTTCCCCTACACTAAAAATAAAGCTTTCTATGGTACTCTCTGTACAAGTAGTATGTCTTTAGAGTCTTAAAAATGTTCTTTCTATAGGACCAGAAAAGGATTCTTAAGAGCATCAAATAATGTTTTGGTCCTATCACTGTAAGAACTATTTTAAAGAATCTTAGTAACAAAGACAAATGATAATAGAAAACCTTACACACTCACTGAGGTTTGAAGTTGAACAAAACAAAGGTACAAATTGTTCCATCTATCCTTTACCACTCAAGAAAACAAGATTGCATATTATTAGCTAAAATTCATATTTTAGCAACATCTACAAAAATTGTTAATATTCTAATTCACATAAAGAGAAAAGAATAACCTCAAATTTATGTTATCTGCATTTTATTAAGGAAGCTCTTCCTTTCTCTTAGTTTGTACCAGTGTTTCTAGTACAAAATTACCTTCATTATTAGGAAAAGCCACTTATTCCATCAGGGAAAAATAAAGCCTAGGCTTAGACTTTGGACAGCTATTAATTGCAAAAGAAAAAATTTAGAAAATAGCATACTTTAAATGCAATGCTATAATGAAAATATATAAATTTATAGCAAGTAGCAAAAGTAGATTTATAGCTGTGAGTACATGAAACAGAGTTTATTCTTATAGTATTATTTATTATTGTATTATTTTCCATATGAACTGTAAACCTATTTTGCCCCACCTTGTATTAATTAAATCTTAAATAATATTCAATTCTATATGAGTGTACAAATCAAATATCTTCATTCTTGAAGAATCTCAGACAACAGATAGCACAACTGAGTAACAGTTGTATATTCTCATTTTTGCTAAATAATCTGATTATAGAAAGGTCATTTGAAATGAATACATTCCAAACCATCTATATATAAACAGAAAGGACCAACATTTCTAAACTGAGCAACATTAAAACAAGGTATTTCAGTCAAATTTAAACCAAACATAGTTTTAAATAGCAGACAGCATAAAACATAACATTGCTGACCCCCATTTGAACCAAAATTTCAAAATTTTGGGTTATTTATTTCTTCAAGTTATAGGTTGTTTCTTACCAAATTCATAATCCTTTGATATTTTCTTAAAACAGATTAAATTTGCTTCCTTCCCTCAGGGAAATGCCAGACTACAGTGATATCTAAGAAATATGATTAAATTAGTTTAATTACTTTATGTCAACTTGATAAGTCACTGCTCTTTAATGCAAAAACTGCCACTTGTAATTAATGACTTCGTATTGCTTTAATTGATCAAATGTCTCAAACGTATAAAACATTGAAAGAAGTTCTGTATATCTTACAGCAATTCAGTGGAGAAGTCTTGTCCCAGGGGTATGTAAATCTGAAGTACAAGAAACCTCTGGATCAGTCCAACTAGAATGAGAGGGGGAAAAGATACATTCACATGTCCAAACCATTTATATGTGCATATAAACAAACACAATTGAAGGCCACCAACAAGCTTAAGCTTTTAGTATTTCAGTAATATAAAGAACTGCAATAGCAGTGCCCATGCATTACAACATCATTATTAAAGCAAAACATTGATGAAAAATCAAATCAAACTCTAACAACAAATGTTGTCTTTTAAAGTCCCATCTGTAGGTTTGGTAAAATTTTTATGAAAATTTAAAAAATAATTTTTTATTTACTATTTTTAATAGTTTAGGAGAGAATGTACACATAAAACTGCATTCAATAGAGACATATAAAACTGAACTATAGATTCCCATCAAGGCAGCCATAAAGGCTTGGAGCAATTATTTTTATTCACTGATAGTTTTAAGTGTACTAAACAACTTAATAAAAAAAAATAGACCAAGAAAAGCAATTCTTACTGAAGGTTTGATGAGCCATATCTAGTTTATATGGTTTTAAACATAGTGTCCACATTGAGATGGATGGAGAAACATATTTTCATTTATAATACCTTTTGTTAATTTAACACACTTTTAATTAATCTAATGCTCATAAATTAAGAACTGATAACTTTTATTCCCCACCACCGGCTTCATCTTTATTAAAAAAATATTTGGAGAAATACCAATCCCTTGGCACTTTTGATAGGTGAAGCCTATAACTGCTTCAAAATCAATTAATTTCAGATTACCTCTTCAGATTCATTCACTTAATTCCTTCCCTCTTAGGCTTTGAACTTCTGCTTAATCTCTCAATTATGATACCCTTAATGGATGTTTTAGTATCACTACTTTTCAAAACATAACTTTTAGGAACTTTTTTCCTGATATGGGACTTTGGGTAGAATATGGAAATGTTTTGATTTATCTGACCTTTCTTACAACTCTCACAGTACTGGCTAATGCATGGATAAAAGAAGGCAACTGGTCTAAAATGCATGTTATTTTCTATTTATTCTAACTTAGTAGGCTTAACAAATTTAAGTATTTTAAAGTAATAATACATGTTTATATAGTCTATATAAAGACATTCTGGGTTATAATTCTAGGTAAACTGTTTAACAACATTTCTGAACAACCTGAAATTTAGTTTCTAAAAACTAAATATGCCCAGTATTTTTAAATCAAACAAACAGGATAACTTTTGCTTAAAACACTAAGTGGCCAGGTGACTCAGTTGGTTAGAGCATCACCCTGTACACCAAAAGGTTGAGGGTTCAATTCCCAGGCAGGGCCCATCCGGGAGGCAACTGATCGATGCTTCTCTCTCACATTGATCTTTCTCTTTCTCTCTCTCCCCCTTCCTCTCTCTCTAAAAATAAAAACATATCCTCAGGTGAGGATTAAAACAAACAAACAACAAAAACGCAAAGCTTATAAACTGACCAGAGACCTATTTGTAGAGTAAGCAATATAATAAAAATAGGGAATTACATGCTCTGACCTTAGAAAATTCATCAGGAACCAGATTCTACCATATTTATGGGAAAAGCCAGTAAGGCAACTAGGGTCCTGGACTACAAAACCAAAATAAGATACCAAAATGAGGCCAACTTATTGTTAATCAACAACTCATTAATTAACAACTCATTGTTAATCAATCTCTCTCTTGCAGCTTCCACTGATTGGCCCTTGGGTATTTTTCTACTGCCCAAGGTCTCTGTAAATAGAGCTGAGGGAGCACCAGGATAAATGAAATGCAGTCTTTTCAAAAGGTCCCTAATATATGTCACAAATCTCACTGAATCAGCACTGTTCTTTTCAAACACAAAGAGCTACACATACAGGGCATTTTTGTATGAACATTTTTAGATATGAAAGACACTTGCCCTCAAAAAAAGAAACCTTTATAATGCAACTTTCTCACATATAGAGAAGCCCTAGTTTCCAAAAGTCTCCACTTCTAAGATTAAAAGAAGTATGACAATACGATATGGTGATGATCGAACAAAGAAAAAAGTACTTTAATAACGTTTGACATACACTGATCCTGTGTGTTAGAATAGCTATATAAATTCTATAGTAATATTTTTTTTCTAGTAGCCTAGTAAATTCAAATGGACTCTTCATGTCTACATTATAGTTAAAATTACTATAAGTAATGCTGAATGTGGAACTGCTTAGTCAAAAAATGCCCATTATGCACATAAAATTCATAAAAATGTAGTTTTTATTGAAATATGCAGTTTTCTACAGTTTTATAATCTATTCTTGCCTGAGACAAACTACCTCTATTTTTAAGAGGTCAGGTCCTTTTTTCTTTTGAATATTTTAGAAACAAATTTAACTGGTAAAATACCATTAGATGTTTAAACACTGGTGTTCCAGTTGTTTCCTTATAGAAAATGACAGCTGTACACCTCATATACAAGGAGTTGGGACTAGTCATCCTTTAGGAGTGACCTGGTAAGTCATGCTGAAACCATTCACTGGTTCCAATCACAGCCCTGGCATAAACAGCACTGACCTGTACCTCTCCACTTCAATACAGATGACAGGAAACAGTTATGCCTTCATTACGGGTTATTCCACATCCCTTGGGCAAATGAGAAAACCTGTCTGGGCCCTTTTACTTTTCATGTGTAAAACTGGATCAATAATTTAGAGTTATAAATTATAGGCTTATTTATATGGCTTAAATTAGATCTATTCAATAAAGATTGAACGCCTACTATGTCTAAGACAGTGCTGAAGTTTTTGTAGTGAGTAAGATAGACAAGGTCTCTGACCCCTTAGAATTTATTGTCTAGTTCCATGAAGGAGAAGGTCAGGGTGCTGTGAAAGCATATAATCATGGGTTCTTAGAGGGAAAGGGACGATGAATGAAGATTTTCTTGAAGAAATGACATTGGAATTCAGCTAGGAACACATTTTACAGGGAAAGGGAATATTCTATCATGTGATGAAAAAGGTGTATTTAAAGGCCTAACAGGCAGATAGGAAAGTCAGCAGGTGAAAAGCAGCAGGAGATAAGCCTGGCAAATAGCTAGGAACTCAATCATTCAGGGCCTTGAAGGCCATGTGAAGGGTTTAGGTCAGTGATGGCGAACCTATGACACGCGAACTCATTTTTTTGGTTGATTTTTCTTTGTTAAATGGCATTTGAATATATAAAGTAAATATCAAAAATATAAGTCTTTGCTTTACTATGGTTGAAAATATCAAAAAATTTCTATATGTGACACAGCACCAGAGTTAAGTTAGGGTTTTTCAAAATGCTGACACGCCGAGCTCAAATGGTTCGCCATCACTGGTATAGGTCATCCTAAAATCAATGGGAAGCTACTCATATATTCACTAATTTATTCAACAAAGTTACTAGATGTCTACTATGGTGCCAGACACTGTTTCAGGTGAACAAAATAGACTAAATTTCTGTGCTGGTGGCAGTTACTTTCTGGTAATGGTGAGAAAAATAAATAAATAAATAAATAAATAGCATGTTAAATGGTGGTAAGAACTATTGGAAGAAGCCGAGCATGGTAAAAACTATCAAAAGTGCAGGAAGGATCCAAAGCACAGGTCAGGGTTAAGGCCTGAAGAAGGGGAGTCTGGGAAAATGAAGCTCTAGGCCAGTGATGGCGAACCTATGACACACGTGTCAGAGGTGACACGCAAACTCATTTTTTTGGTTGATTTTTCTTTGTTAAATGGCATTTAAATATATAAAATAAATATAAAAAATATAAGTCTTTGTTTTACTATGGTTGCAAATATCAAAAAATTTCTATATGTGACACGGCACCAGAGTTAAGTTAGGGTTTTGCAAAATGCTGACACGCCGAGCTCAAAAGGTTCGCCATCACGGTGCTGTCCTCTCCTCTGTTTTTACTCTTTTTACCCCCAGTAGGGAGTGTGCAGGAGGCAGCTGGTCGATGTTTCTCTCTCATCGATGTTTCTAATTCTCTATCCCTCTTCCTTCCTATCTGTAAAAAATCAATAAAATATATATTTTTAAAAAAATGCTGACACACTGAGCTCAAAACGTTCGCCATCACTGCTCTAGGCAGAGGATACAGCTTGAGCACAGGTGCTAGGGTGATAAGGTACCAGGCTATGTTTGAAAACAGCAAGGAGACCTGTATAGTTGCAGCAGAGTGAACTAGGGAAAGAATTATAGGAGACAGGGTCAGGGAGTTAAGAGGGCACCAATCCTGCAGGGCCCTATAGATCTTTGGTTTTTACTCTGAGAGAGATGGGACATTTTAGCAGGGGAGTGCCTTACATTGACAAGTATAGCTCTAGCCACTAAATTGACAACAGAAGGCAAGTCAGAAACAGGGAGGCCAATTAGAAGTCTACTGCAGTATTCCAAGCATGAGATAATGGTGGCTTGGACCAGGGTGGTAGCATTAGAGGGTGGCAAGAAGCAGTCAGAGAATGACTCTAACTTAAACAGAGAACCAATAAGATCTTCCTAATGGACTGAATGAAGAGAAAAAAAATACCAGGCTAATTTAAGAGTTTTTGTTTGAACAACTGAAAAGACAAGTTACTAACAACTGAGATGGGGTTGTGTGCAAGAGGAGGAGGAGGAATTTCTAGGGAAAAGCTTGTCCAAGTGGAAATGTCAAGTAAGCAACTGAAAATACAAGTTGGAAGTTTGAGAGAGAAGTCTGAGCTGGAAATCCAAGCTTGAATAAGACAGACATGGTATAAACAAGGGAGTAAATGTAAACAGAGGGTCAGGGACTAGACACAGGCGCACTGCAACATTAAGTTGGGTTAGGGAGAAGAGGAAGAACCATGAAAGGAAACTAAGAGAGAAGACCAGAGAATCAGGAAGAAAACTAGCAGTGGGCATCCTGGAAGATGAATGAAGAACATATATCAAGGAGGAGGGTGTCAACCTGGTCAAATGCTGCTGAGATGATAAGCAAAATGAGGGCTGATAACTGGCCGACGGATTCAGGAATAGAGATCACTAGTGACTCTGACAAGAGCACTATCAGTAGAGTGGTAAGGTCAGTGCCATTGAAAGGTTTTAAACAGAGGAATTTATAATGAGATTTATTTTAAAAAGAACATCAAAGTGCGGGCAGGGGGAGGTTTGGGGAGCACCTCATAAAGATAACTTCACCCTCCAGAGCAGCTGAAACTTGGATTAACACAGGGCTTCAGGGATGCTGGTCCCCAGACATGGCACTGGGCTGGGACACCACAGGCAGAGAAAAAATGGTTTCAAAGCTGAGCCTCACACAGAAAGTCCCAGTCCCATAGGGGCATCCTATATAATAAAATCCTAATATGCAAATCCACCAAATGGCAGAACGACCGGTGAAACGACCAGTGAAAGGACCGGTCGTTATGATGCACACTGACCACCAGTGGGCAGACGTTCAATGCAGGAGCTGCCCCCAGCCCCCAGCCCGCAGGCCTCAGGTCAGCCAAGGCAGGTGCCAGGGAGGGCCCCCCAATCACCCCACCGGTCGTCCTGCAGAGGGAGATGACCAGAGGGAGGAGCTTGGCGGCAGTGGCGGGGGGTGGGGCCAGCGAGCGGGCGGCGCCAGGCCGTCCAAGGCGGGTGCCAGTGGGGGAGGGGCCCTCCCCGATCACCCTAGTTGCCCCCAAAATTGGCCTGATCACTGGCCAGGCCTAGGGACCCTATCCATGCACAAATTTCATGCATCAGGCCTCTAGTCTATATAACAAGTACCAGGGTGAAGAGCAGCGTGGACTTACTGACTTATCTGGCTAATGATTTACTCAAGTCTCCTTATCAAGGGAAGCTGGTTACATTTAGAAATTATAACCTAAATTGTTATAGTTTGTTTATGTGACAAATTTAACAAACTTATTAAACACCAACTATATACAATACATTAGGCAGGGGTATAAAATAGATGATGCAAGATTCCTACACTGGAGAAGTGTACAATCTAATAATTAATATCACTTCATTTGATAAGATGCTAAGTAAAAATAAATAAAACAAAACCAAAAAACACTCTGACATATTGAGAGATACTCAAGTGTAATTCAGAAATAGTACTATTTAAAATGAAAAGTTAAACATACTTAATTTCATTATTAAACTTTCTTCAGAAGCACCTAATATAGTAGAAAACACAAAATGGGGTATCTAATTTCAAATCTGTATAAATAAAGTGAATATTTACTCTTAAAATAGAAATATATAATGGTAACTGAACTAAATTTAGAAATGGTAATTGAAAGCCAATTCTCTATTCAAGGCATAACATTTAATTTAAATTTAACCATAACAACTTCACACAGAAGGTCATTTTATAGAAGCAAAAATAACTATAAAGCTGTTATCAAAAATTACAAATAATCTTAAAGGCATTAGTACAAAAATTACAAATAATTAATCTTACAGACTGTATAAACTGTTTCATTTGTTACAGTGTTGCACATCCTACAGAAGAGCCAGATTAATTTTTAATTACAGGGCATTGTACAAAAAACACATTAAAAGATTCTTCCGTTTCTTCCAATTAAAACTATCATCTTTCCATTTAAAAAGCAATTATAACAAGTTAAAAATTCCTAAAAATTTTTTTTAGATAAAAGTAGGAAAAGGGAGGTGGTAGAGGGATTAAGAAAAAACTAAAAAAAAAAAAAAAAGTAGGAAAGGGAGCTTGTCTTTAGACACTGAACCTTTGGTAGAGGAGAAATTTTTCAGAGCCAACTGAGAAAGGTTACAAGGAGTGGTTTGATTTTGTCAATAACATGATTATGTACATTGATGCTGAGGGCATCACATGGAAGTACAGGCCAACAATAAGAAAAAAACAACAAAAGAACACTGGATTACGTTAAGTTATGTTTCTGCAAATCAAATATATCTCTCTCACAAAGACAATATCCTTAAAAAAAGATGAAACATGTCTCCTGTAAGAATAACCAAGTTTCAGACACATTTCCCTGGCTCATCTTAGTTTATCTCATGTATATGTATAAATTTTTGTAAGAATGAAAAATACTCTATTAAAAGAAAAGGAACTGGCCCTGGCCGATTTGGCTCAGTGGATAGAGCGTAGCCCTACGGACTGAAGGTTCCCAGATTCAATTCCAGTCAAGGGCACATACCTGGGTTGCAGGCTCGATCTCCAGTAGGGGGCATGCAGGAGGCAGCCGATCAATGATTCTCTCTCATCATCATTGATGTTTCTCTCCCTCTCCCTTCCTCTTTGAAATCAATAAAAATATACTAAAAAAAAAAAAAAAAAGGAACTGTGAGGAAATCATGATTTGTAAAATTGTAGTAAATTAATAAAAATTATTTTAACAATGATTATTCCTTCTCTTTGAGTTTCTGCTTTTTATTTTATTTTAGAAAGAAACACTGGCAAACCATTTTAAAGTTAACCATCTTCCATCTATAACTTCTATGGCTTGGCTTATGTCTCAGAACTCTAAAATATGCATGTAGTAGCTTGAAATGGTAGATAAAGCACAGAGTATATGAAAATTTAGAAAACTGAATTAAAATGAGAAAAATCAGGTACCAAGAACAGTCTTTTCATAGTATCTGGTACACAGTAGTATTCAATAAATGTTTTTAATGAATGAACGAAGAAAGAAATGATGAATGTAAAAAGTAACTGGCTACTTATATTTACTAAATTACCTAAAATCTATGGTTAAAACATAGGACAAAGTTGATGAAAATCTGAATAATCATTTTGAAAAATTCTATTTCTTAAATCACATCAGTTTACTCAAAGCCTAATTTGGTGGCAGAGCCTCAAATTTTAACCCCAGTTTTGCCAATAACGGCTTCTGATCCTAAATGTAGGTGATCTCTTAGGGTTTCTTCTGCTTTAGAATGCTGACTCTAATTTCCAAAGTAAGAAAGAATTGAAATATACTCCTTGGGCTTTTGTTAAAGCACATGCTAATATCTATATTTATTAGATATTAATATTTTTAAAGGTATATGAGTTGATATGTCACTAAATAGCGCCTTCTATTGTATTTTACATAATTGTTTTCTAACAAATTAATTTCCTATAATTTAGGAACTCCTGAGTTTATTTCATAGCTTAGTCTTAACTACCTGATTTCTTGATAAGGAACCAACCTCAGTGTGCTTATCTATAAAAGAGCTACAGTGAGGATTAAAAGAGTTAAATGTGAAATGCTTAGGAAGTCAGGCACACAGTAAATGCTCAATAAATACCATTACTATTACAACTAATGGTCATTAAGTAACTCTTTAAATCTTAAAAATACTGGTAGATTTCTAGTAAACAGTGAAGCAGAATATTAAAAAACAAAAAAAAAAAAAAACCTGGCATAAGGTTACTTTCTAAATTTAAAAAAAAAAATCTTATCAGGTTCATGTCAACAGGTGCCAACAAAAAAAACCTGGCATAAGGTTACTTTCTAAATTAAAAAAAAAATCTTATCAGGTTCATGTCAACAGGTGCCAGTAAAAGTCAAACTAATGTATGTGTATGAGACTTAAAGGCATAATTTCAAGCATCAAATGTTAAGTTTCAAGATTAAAAATCTTACTTACGGATTTGCTTATTCTCCTTTGGTAACTGAATTTTGTTTGTCTGACTGCTGCCTTCCAGGACAAACACAAAACTTTTCACTTCTTTATCAAACTCCTATAGAACAAAAATGAAAACAGTGGTAATTGAAAAGTACTAGTATTTTGTTTGGCTTCTATTATAAAATTAGAGCTAAAAACTCACAAGAAACAAGTCCCAGATTCAAATGACTTAAAAGTAGACTTAGGCCTTGATACTCTCGCCCTAAGACTTGCTGGGAACTAGAATACAGAAGCCACACTAAGCCACTTGGCAAATTCTCTATTATATCAAGTAGACACTCTTCCTCCAAACGATAAAAAGTTCTCCAAGCTTAGGGATTCTCAAGTAACTAATTTTGAGTTTCCAGAGTTTATTTCTCTTCCTCTCCTTTAATCTGTGTGTTTCTGTCTAGCAGCACAAGCTGACATCACTTCTGTTACAGTATAATAAATCATCTAACCTTTGCTGCATCCAGTCTGAAAGGTCTTTGGTCTTTGGCCATGGCTCATACAGAATTAATCATTGCCTTTTAAGAAAAACTAGTGCTCCAACTTGAAGTTCCATATCATTTACTTAACATCAGTACAAACTAAAGTGCTACAGTTAATTAAAGTGACCTAAAAAACTAAGGTTGAAGAAACAGAAAACAAACAAACAAACATGAATCAAAGTGGTAATGTAAATGGTTATATTTTTATAAACCAAATTCCCAATCTTTTGAGTATAAAAGATCTTTTTCACATTAAAATAATTCACAGATCCTCCCACTCTCCCATTTTGTATTAAGAAATGCATTGTGTCTAATAGCTGCTAAGAATTAAGTAACATTTTAATAAATTTATATTATGCCTATCACAATAGCATCTCCTATGTATTTGTGGGGTTTTTTAATCTTTATTTTTTATTTTATTTTTTAAATAAATCTTTATGTTGAAATTATTACACATATTCCTCCTTTGTCCCCCCATTGACCCCTTCTAACCCACCCTGGCCCCCATTCCAGGCCTTCACCACCCTACTGTCTGGGTCCATGGGTTATGTATATATGCATACAAGTTCTTTATTTGATCTCTTCCCACCCACCACTGCCTTTCCTCTGAGATGCATCAGTCTGTTCCATGCTTCTGTGTCTCTGGATCTATTTTGTTCATCAGTTTATTTTGTTCATTAGATTCCACATATGAATGAGATCATGTGATACTTGTCTTTCTCCTGTGTATTTGAAATGAATATACATACATCTAGTGTATTATTTATTCCACAAGTTGAACAAACACGTAAAACCTTTCACCAGTTTACCAAAATCTTCAAAGTGGTCCGTAAGTCCTTGCGTAGTCTGATCCCTGCCCAGTTTTTCCAACCCCATCTTCTACCTTGTCCTCTCTCCTGTCTGCATCCTAGCCTTCATAGCTTTCTTGCAGTTTCCTAAAAATTCTAAGCTCTCTTTTGACACAGGACTTCGTGCATGCTTTTTTTTAATCTTTATTTTTAATTTTATTTTTAAAATAAATCTTTATGTTGAAATTATTACACATCTTCCTCCTTTGTCCCCCCCATTGACCCCTTCTAACCCACCCCAGCCCCCACTCCAGGCCTTCACCACCCTACTGCCTGGGTCCATGGGTTATGTATATATGCATACAAGTCCTTTATTTGATCTCTTCCCACCCACCACTGCCTTCCCTCTGAGATTCATCAGTCTGTTCCATGCTTCTATGTCTCTGGATCTATTTTGTTCATCAGTTTATTTTGTTCATTAGATTCCACATATGAATGAGATCATGTGATACTTGTCTTTCTCCTGTGTATTTGAAATGAATATACATACATCTAGTGTATTATTTATTCCACAAGTTGAACAAACACGTAAAACCTTTCACCAGTTTACCAAAATCTTCAAAGTGGTCCGTAAGTCCTTGCGTAGTCTGATCCCTGCCCAGTTTTTCCAACCCCATCTCCTATCTTGTCCTCTCTCCTGTCTGCATCCTAGCCTTCGTAGCTTTCTTGCAGTTTCCTAAAAATTCTAAGCTCTCTTCTGACACAGGACTTCGTGCATGCTTTTCCCTTTGCCTGAAATACTCTGCTTTCCACCAGCCCTACCCAGTGCCTAGTTAGCTCTTAGAGATCAAATGGCATTTCCTTGGGAAGGCTTTCCTAATTTCCCTGGTATATACCTTCACAGCATCATTTATCTCTCATTCATAGTAAGAGCTGTATAATTGTGAGCAAGTCGCTTACCCTCTCCATGCCTCAGTCTATAAAAGGAGCATAAATATAACTATCTCACAAGGCTATTGTACAGATTACGTATGTAATGTACTTGATGCTATGCTTGGTAAACAGTCAGCACTCAATTAATAGTTTTAAAAAGTTACGCATAGAACTGAGTCCTTAGAAAGGCATTTTCCTCTCCAGTATACAGGAGAGAAGAGAAAAAGAAGATAGGGATGGATATAGGTTTTTAGATCTAGAGGCAGCAAGCCGAGGTAGTTTCTACCTGATGGCATTGGTTTTTCCAGTGAAATGGGGTGTGGCCTGGTGAGTGAGTGAGGAGGACCTATCTGGGTGTGGATTGGGGATGGGGATAGGGAGTTGGTGGTTGGAAACCTGAAGAAAATTGAGAAAATTATTTTAAAGACTATGAGAACTTTCTGGGATATTCAGGATAAATTTATAGCATCATCAATCTAAGAGGCTGTAGATATTTTCTCCAAAGGTACCGAGAAGCCGGATGCAGACAGATAACTGGGAATTCAGAAAGGGTCAGTGTTTCCTAGGCAGGCATGATGGAAGGACAAGAAGCAAGGGCATTCAAGGTCTTGACCGGGCCTTGATTGAAATCATGGACTATGGATTCTGGGCTAGAGAGAAAAGGAAGTGAAGACAGAGAAAATACACAAATAAAACTAAACACTGGGGAAAGTAGATGTCCTAAAAGTCTCAATTAGGTTGAAGAACAAATATAGTGGGAATAACTAGGCAAGCAGCTTTAAGAACTGAAGATTGGGGCCGGAAGAGATGTCGTGATATCTCACTTAGTAAATTTCAGAGTCTGCAGTTTATGGTGATGAGGTACTGGGCATGACAGAGGGCATGTACAGCAAAGTAGAGTGGGATAGGTCATTAGAAATGAAGGAATCAAGGAAATGAGGCCCTTGCCAGGAAGCTCAGTTGGTTAGAGTGTCATCCCCATACACCAAGGTTTGATCCCCAGTCAGGGCACATACAAGAATCAATCAGTTGAATGTATAAATAAGTGGATCAACAAACTGATGTTTCTTTCTCTGTCTCTCTCTCTAAAAATCAATCAGTAAGTTAAAAATTAAAAGAAACTGAGAAGCTAAGGGTTTGGAGAGATTTTCCTCACAGATACTGAAGTTACTTAAACAGCAGGACTTGGTGTTCAGAGAAGGGCTGTGAGCTGCATGCCTAACTCTTAAACAAGTGAGGAGCGCTGTCTGGGAGGACTGCAGCCCACAATGTCATGAGAAGATTTTGGGGTGCATGAATAGGAAAAGCAGTTCTGAAATCTGACTGAGCCCTTTTTGTTATAAACAGTCACTCTCATTTCTTTCCATGTTTTAGGTGGCTCTAATTTCTCACACTTACTTTCCAAATCACAGATGGACTTCCAAGGATCTTCCACTTTGCTCCAGGATTTTTTCCCTGAGCACTAAATATTTCAACAAATGCACCTCCCTAGAAAACAAAAATGAAGTATTTACATTACAGTGAAAGACAATGCTAAGGAGAAGATACTACCCATCACATGGCCTACAACCACTGTTCAGGCTTCTGTCAGGTAAGCAGATCTGGGAGAAAACTTTATACCTAGATTGTATCTAGCAACAGCAGCTCTGATTTGAGTCACCTCTGATTAATAGAAATTTTAAGAAAATTTTTAAAGCAGGATAAATATTAAATGAATTGTGCCATACAACCTTATGATATCTTAGTGTAAGGTTCATTTATTTGACATGTATAGCTCATGCTTACAGAACATGCTATTCAACCCAGACTAATAAATTCTGATAATTATCTTTTTAGTCATACTGGCCTGAGCTCTAATATCAGCTTTGCCATTTATTAACTACCCGACCTTGGAGTTACTTAACTTCTTGATTCTTCATCTGTAAAATGGATTGTCGGATTACACAGGATAGTAAATATAAACCATCAAGTACAATACCTTGCACATAGCAAAGCTCAACAGTGCCAGTAAAAACTGTTCAAAAAAGGGCATGTTAATAATTTAGTCTGGTCGATAAAAAGTTTGGGAGGGAGTGAAGAAAAGAATGATTCTTATTTTGAGCATTTCTGTAAATCTTTTTACATCGGGTGGGCAAAAGTAGAT